TGCCAATGAGCATTAGCCAGTAATGGTTCCAAATGTATTGCCTACAGAGATAATGACATAATTAATCAGAATGATTATTTTATTTCTGTACTATTTCTACACTTCAGCATTGTAGAAGAAAATATTTTAAATATTGACCTGATGAGAAATATTATTAGTTCCACAGAGGGGAAAAATCAGTTTGCGTTTGTATTCTTATCATATGGTGTCTTTTGCATTTCTTCATCTAATTGCTCATTAACTTTTCTCATACAAATTACCACACATTTCATGACATAAATTCCCTGGCACAGGCTTCAATGCAAATATTCTTAATATAGGCACTTTCTTCAAACATCTCTACCAGTTTACAGGCAACTATGATGGAGTGTCTAACATACCCTGGGAAAGTAGAACAAGAAACAGGATTGTTGCAAAAGTGGTATCACAGCCCAGGGAAGGGGAGAAGCAGGAGAAAGAGATTCCAAGTAACTTCAAGCTAATTATTCTAGGTTTAAACTACCTGAGCAGGAAAACATAGAGATAGAGGTTCTCAAGGTTAATGTCAAGTCATGCAAGGCTGGTCAACTCCTGAAAGTAATTCTCCCACCTAACTTATATTTAGTGTAATTAGGAGGTTGCTCCGAATGTCTTTCTCATGCTTCCCTGGGCTGAAGTATCTCTTTTGCAGTGGACTTGTTCCCTCTTCTGCCTGATTTCCCAGGGTCTGTGAGACATTCCATGACCACAATCTTCAATACTGTATCCTCCTTTCAAACAATGTTTGCAGCTGGATTTTGGATCAGAGAAACCCCCGCATTGCCCAGCTTCACTTGCTATTAGCCTGTATGTCCTACTGAAATCTGGTAGAAGCTGAAAAGGTACTTGTTTGGAGCACTGCAGATGGAGTAGCCAAAATGCCACAAGAGCTGGTCCCTGAAAACCTGAAAATCATTAAAGAGATTATCTCTGTTACAGTTGCTAACACAATGCATAATTGAGAAAGATTCTGGAACAATTAGTTTTACAGCCCCAGAGAAGACAGAAGAATATGGAGATAGTTGTGGTAAATAATTATATACTGTATCTGCCACACAGAAAATACTATCAGTTTATCAAATGTAAGGCATATTCCTACAGAAAATGTAACTTGTGTCTTCTAACATATGGCCTGACTGTGTTTTGGTAATTAATTTTAAGTATGTTCAAGACCAATTGAAATATATATTATTAGCAGCCTTCTTATTTCTTATTGATCTATTGATCTAATATATTTGTATTCAGTACCACCACCAGATAGTAATCTGCTGAGGGCATTTGTTATATATGTACCTGTATCTCACCTTATTTTTGGATTATGTTGGTTTTTATGTTATTTATGAACTACACAGAGAAATGTGGAGTCAATCCCTACATTGAATTAAATACTTTTATCATTTATAATAAAATAATTATATGACCATTCTATGAAAAATTATTAGTCCCTTTTGGATTGTCTGAATTTTTTGTATCTTTGCCATTGAATGTTATAAGAGTTTCATCTGAGTCTCACTGATCTATAAAGAAAGTCTAGATTGTTAAACCAAAGTGTGATGTAGCAATGTGAAATGTGATCATNCTGCAGATTATTTAGATGTTGAGAGGGAAGGGTAGAGGTGTCATGATATGTAGGAAAGATCTTGGGAGAGGGACAAAAAGATGCTGCCTAGGAAACAGATAAGAGATACCATGGTCAGCAGCTGAACAGTAGGTGAGGTAAGAAGCTCAGAAAGGACCATTCCTAGTTTCTTGAACTGTAAAGGAGATGGCAGCTTGTCTGGTTGTTTTTCCTGTCTGGTCTACCCGGTGAGGCTGACAGGAGGTGACATATGATGGTTTTATACTATATTCTTGGAGTATTTTTGACAAGATACCCTCTTGGAAAGATCAGTTGTCTCAAATTATTTAAGACTACGTCTCTGACTATGGATTGATAAAGCCACAAAGCTTTAGAAATTGTTCTGTAGCATTTACCAGGCAATTAAGCATCAATGTTTTTTTTTAATGGAAGTTTTCAGAAATTTGAGTGAGACATAACATACGTCCAGATTCTATATGAGTAGCCACTATAAGTCAAACTTACTAGGCTGACATAGTTCAGAATTGTCCAAATAACTCCTGTTTAATTAAGTATTTGCATAATTGCCCCTCATTAACTTTTTTATTTTTAAATGATTGAACAAGGGATGATTGCTGTTTCACACTGGTATATCACATGTTGAATGATGCTGTGAAATAAATGCAACAAGCCAAAGTTTAGTATTTTTCCCCCAGATACCATTTTTTTTAATATGTGCATGTGAGCAATATGCTCTGATACTGTTCAATGACAAAATCTGCAAAAAACCAGAAAATCTTAAAGGGAAAACACCTTTTCAGAGCTCTAGATTTGTGTTTTCTTGCTTATGTCTTTTGTCAATCTCCCTTTATGACCTGAACATTATCAATGATTGTATATGTACATATATATACCTATGTGCACATGAAAGCAAATACATGTGGAAACACTATGACATTATCTGCTAAACAGTTTAGAATACAAAAATAGACAATGTTAAAAACCAGAAGGAAGAGGAAGAGAAAAAAAGACTTTTTTAAGGCACTTTTGGAAATCTTTAGCTATATAATAAGTTAAGTAAAATTTATAAGAAGTAAGCAAAGTATTTGCTTTAAACAAACTTTTTCTAAGTCATCCAAAGCTGATTGCATTTTTCCAATCTTTCTGTATATTGCTCCACGACGACAATAGTTAAATGCTGTAGCACATCCTGTATTTATCTCTTGGGTTATTCTCTCAATCTCACGCTCACACTGTGCAAGTTCTTCTTTTTTGCCATCAAATAGAAAAGGATTCACATAGTTTGGTAATTCTTTTTCTTTTGCAGCATCCTCTATTTTCTGTTCCAAAAGATGTTTGCCTAACATCTGTTTATCTTCAGTGGTTTTGATAATGGGAACAAACCGCTCCTCAAACCATTTATTCCACAATAGCCTGGTCCATAGATAATCAGAATCTTCAGATCTTTTACCCTGTTTTTTGGCAAATGTTTCAAAGTTTAACAAACAAGGGAGGCTAGGGCTTCTATAAAGTTGAATTGCTCGAGATACTTTAATAGAGTATTTATTATGCATCTTAAGCTTCTGGAAAGTCAGAGACACAGACCTAAAAAGGAGAAGCAAAATTATGATCAATGTGTAATTGAGGTAATGACAGAAGATTACTGAAATAAATTTGAAATGTTATAAACTGCAACATTTAATAGCTTGTTATTTATGAATTTATAACATCATTTTATATTACCTCAACTTTAAAACAGATTTACTGTAAGATGACACAGGACTACCCAGATTAAGTACATAATGTTAAAGTTATGGTAAGAAAATTTCTAGTAGAAATACAAGTAGAATTGTCCATTAATATGGAAGTATATAACTTTGTAATCATGTAGTATGGCATACACTCCATAAATAAATAACTGATTTCTGATGGAGATAATTCAATCTATTTTGCCAGTTCAAAGGGAAACTTGAAGTAGTATCTCCCTCAGTGAACTAGGAGGATGATTCTGTAAAATAAAAGTTTCATTTTACCCACACAAAGACAATCCCATATGGCCTGAGCAGCACTTTCATTTTTTGCACATCCATTTTCAGTCAAACTTCCCTCTCATAGCAGAAGGGACCTGAATGCATTTCCTATGCTTAGGGAACTTGTCTGCTGTATGTAATGCCAGTTCAAGTGAAGTGACAAATGCCCCTGAATCAGGCAATAATAGCGAGGACACCTAATGAGAAAGAAAGCATGAAAGAAACATCTTTTCTGGATCAATGGAAGAATTCTTTGAACCAGGGCATAACCAAAGCAAGAGCTATCTAGTATACATGTCCATAAATAGGCAAAGTCACATCATATGGGCCAGTAACAGAGAATATCATGGATTCTGACTGGTGCTACAGAAAAGATCTTATGTGCAAGCACCTGAAATTTACAGAATTGCAGCAGCCTTTAAGAATGTGCACCGCTGGTAGTATCTATCATTATACAGGCTGAATAAACTGAAAGGAAATAAGGAGAGACAGTCTTATTCAGAGCTCATGAGACTGTTGGAATAGAAGACTTGTACTATGTAGCCAGATCAGTCAGTGATGAAATAAGCTGTTAAAAGCCAGCCGGCTAGATAAAGCTGTGTGTGTGAAGGGAAATGATATCCTGGAGGAAAAGGAAAAACAATATGTACATTTAAAGAAAATTCCCAGAGATGTAGAGAGGCCAACATCTGTGCATGGATATAAAAAGAAGAAAAAGTATGAAGGTATAGTACAGATATATGTTATCCATTCTACGCATCTATAGTTATGAGCTAATCCCTTTCTGCAAGAGGGGAAGAATGGAAATGAATTCTGAAGAAATTTGAAATGAAAGTGGTTCAAAAAAATTTTTGGACAATAAAGACCCAAAAGGTCTGAGGGCATCATCTTAGGGATTGCACAATTCCTCAAAAAGAAGCTGGCAGTCTTCTGGAGGTGTGTTTTCAATCCCCTTTTTTCTTGAACGAAAGAAACCTATCGATATAACTCTTGAGATTTCTAGGACCTATAAAATGGCTTGGTGTGGGTTTAGCTAAGAATTTTACGTATAGTAACAATGAATAATTATTTACAGAAAGTAAAATCACTACATTATGGAAGAGTCCCACACCATAGAACTGGGCCCTGAGTGGCTTATATGGGGGACTATTAAGATCAAAGGTGCTACTTGGAGTTTTGAGATTAATGCCTAGATCTTTGCTGTGCTGAGTCTGTTGGTGGTACCAGTGCCTGGCTGGTGCCCCCAAGTATGCTTTTGGTATGCCTTCTGCTTGAAATACGGAGGGCAACGGAATCTTGGACAGGAGGAAGAAGAGATAAAAGTATAGTTATGCAGCTCACATTCATGCATTGCTTTATGACCCTTTAGAAACATTTTATTCCTGTTGTTGAATACAAAAGAAAGTCCTGAATCCTAGCCTTAGTCCAAGTATGAGTCAAGTACAGTATAATCCAGCAGGGCAATTCAGAGCAATGGACAACACCATGACTCTGTTTGCTAATATCAGTTGTATTAAGAACTATATTTAATACCTGTGCAAATCATGCTGCTTCTCATTGAAAAACAAACTGAACTGCTTATCTTTTGTCCTCTACCAAATGGGATAATAAGTCTCTTCCAAAAGATGCCAGTTAATGTGCGATTAATCATTAATGTAGTTACCAAAATTTAAGGGCTATTTAGCTAAAAGATTACAGTCTTTTTTGCAGATATTATTCACTCATCTCAATGTGGCTTTCCACAATTTAGACAAGCTTCAGATAATATACACTTAATCTCCTAACAAATACACAAAAGAATTAACACTTCACAGAATTAATTTCATTCTACAGTATGTTGAGAAGGCCTTTGACAAGTTCATATTAATTTTTTTAAACAGAATCCCCTATATTTTTTTCTTAGATGGATATCAATATACTATTCTTCAACTACTGCTGGACTTATTAAAAATCACATGATTTCTAAGTTAGTTGAATTGCGATGTAGTCCTTGACAAATTGCTTCAGCAAATGCAACCTGATGGAGAGGAAAGAATTTTGAGAAAAGGGACATGCCAGTCTAGAACTAATGTGAGATCTACTTCAAAGAAATGTTCTGCATGAGAGAAACAGTCCTAAGATAGTAAAAAAAAAACCCACCTGCTCTGAAGTTAATCTAAAGCAGCGGTATCAAACTTGCATCACGTGACGTGTCACAACATATCACGACTTTTTTGCCATTGCCGGCAATGGGGTGGGCATGGTTTCACTATGATGCATCTGGCCCGCGGGCCGGCAGTTTGATACCCCTGATCTAAAGCATGATATGTGGCAGATTGAATATGAGATGACCAAATATAAATTTATCGATCTTGAAATGGCCCAAAAGAAAATCATAGTTTTCTACTATTCCAATGATTAAAATGATTGTTTAATGAGAATCCGCCATGAATTTTCTCTGGCAAGATCAACTGTCAGACCTCAAGAGAAGCCAGTAATAATTGATAGTATAAATAAGAGGGTCCATCTATACCAAGACTTGCAGCAGCAGAGTTGGAGGTGACTAACATGAAGAGAAATCAGAAATTGCTTGAGCCAAAATTGGGAACACTTTTTCTTTTCCCCTAGTTGCAATCAAGTACTCAGGTATTTTGAAATCATACTGGGTTATTTTCCTCAGGGCTGACCATGGCACAAGCAGAGATCTGAATATCCTCTGCAAACAATGAAGAATCTGACTGATCACTCAGAGAAATGAGCAGCTGCCCGAAACATACTAAGGAGACCTGGAGGAATATGAGATGTCTACACGTAGTTTAGCATTTTCAAATGGTCGCTTGTAAAAAAGAATTATGACAAACCTAGCAATGCTTATAAGCAGGGCTTTTTTTCCTCATAGAACATCCAGAACGGAGTTCCGGCACCTTTTAGGCAAGCGGGTTGTATGACGTGTGTGAGTTCCGGCACTTTTTTTTTTTTTTTAGAAAAAAAGCACTGCTTATAAGTATTTAGAACCTTCACTGTGGCAAAATAAAGCAAGGTTTATACCAATAGGAAGAATATATTTGCTGTTGCAGTACTGGTGCTTATGAAATGAGGATTATTTGACCATAAAGCCAAAGGCTGGCTCTTTCTGCAACAGAAAGAATAGGTGTCTTTACAAATAGCTTTAAGAAAATGGTTTTTTTTCTGCTGATTTCACTGACAGCTTTGTTTTGACTACCACCCTTCACATTGGTTCCAAACCTTGTACATCAAGATTGACAAAGCTGAGGGTCTGGATCTTGGTAACTTTTGGGGGAACAAAAGGAGTTTGCAACTCCATAGCAATTAATACTACCTTGCTCCAGCCCAGAAATACTATCAGTAGTAATTATTTTCATATAGAGAGCCTTCATACATCTTTCCCAATCCAAACATCTTGTAACCAACAGATCTGTGATTTAAATCTGTTCTGTTCAACTGTCTAAATAAATACAGAATAAAATTGTTATTAAACATACAACCTTTTAAGAACCTTCGGAGGTTCATTTAATTTTTGAAATATACTATCCAAGACTTTGGGAGTGATACTTTTCCCCACTTTCTTCGATTTTCTTTTTTTCTTTGGGAAAATGATGTAGTTAATTCCAGCTTTTCGACATTTATCAGCAAGAGCAGTCTGATCTAGGAGACCTTCAGGAGGCTCTACTTCAAACAGATTTCCTTTTGGGAGTCTTAGTGTATTTCCCATAATTGTTTCAGAAACTTTCTCTGTATCTACCGGTGGTTTTGAAGGGCTAAAACAAATTTTAGAAAGGTTAGCAGTAGGACTTTGTCTACCCTTTTCTGGAGAAGTTTCAGCTTTAGGTTTTGTTAAAGGAACATGTTTGCTCATGATATCAAGCTCTTCCATAACAGTTTTGAAATTTGCAGAAATCTTTATAAGTGTTTTGTCTCTGTATGAGGACAATTCCGGTGCACTGTTTGGCCTTTTAACCAAATGTTCCTGCAAGAAAATAAGTTTTAATTTATGGGCATCATTTTGGAAAACATATTGATATGTAATGCAATTTAAATCAAGAAGTACCCTTTAACCAAAGTTCTATGTGAATATTACAGCTGGCCAAACTATTGGATCTGAGTATTGTGATAGTAGCATAGTTAGTATATCTAGTTGTAGTATACATTTGCCTTCACTGAAAACATCTGTGTCCAAACCAAAAGGCCTTAATGATCAACAAACACAACTCAATAAATATTGATAAAATAATGATGCTGTATGAGATGAAACATATGACAATATACAGAATAAAATTATAAAACATCTCCAACAATTTATTGCTATCAAATTTAGATTATGCTAGAGAAAATTCCTGGGAAAATTCACATTCCTGAACTACTTGAGAATTGTGGGAATTATAGTCTCATCCATTTGGTGGGTCTCATTTTTAAATGTTTCATCTACATAAATTTACTACAGAAATTCCTTGCAGGCTGAACTGGGTCAGGAATGAGTTATTTCTTAATGTTATACATTACAATTTTGAATTTCTAACTTTTGTGAAAATATATACTATACCACAGACCAAAAATTGTTCTGGTATGAATTCAGAATTGCTACAAATTACTTCCAAAGAATTTTTGTAAAGAAAATAACCATAAACTAAATAAGTTGGAAATGCTACTCATGTTCTGATAAGTATAATTGGATATGGAGTTTCAAAATATGCATCTCTTTTAATATTTTTATTTCAGATAGTCTGTTATTTTGGTAATAAGCTTCATAGAAAATTATTGTGCTATTATACATACTAATGTCACATGAACTGAATAAAACTTAGAAATCCAACATACATATTTGCTAGAGGAGTCACTCTTCTATAGTGGATTACTTACATGTGTAATATCTTCATCCTATAACACAAAATAGTTATAAAATAATATATAGAGAATAACTATAATTTTTAATAAAAAGCAATTCTGATTTTACACAGCCTAAATAAAAAAATTTACATGCTCATGAGATGTAATTACTAAGAGATTATTTAAAGGTAATAATTCAGAGAAATCTATTATCATAGTACAGAAAGGAAGGTAATAATGAACACCTTGAATTGCACCCAGAAGCAAACCAACAGCCAGTGCAGCTCTTGGAACAGTGGTGTAACATGGGCCACTCTAAGGGTCCCAAAGACTGTGCCTGCCAACTCTGCACCAGTTAAAGTTTCTGAATGCACAACCTGAAACTGTGCAAAGGTTCTCCTAGGCGCGAATGCCACCTACTGTTCAAGTTGTGCAGCAGGTCTGTCTGGGGTATACCACCCCATCTGGAACTAAGTATATCAAAGACTTGGGTCTTGAAACTACATGCATTCAAGAAAGTCCAGTTGCCTTTTGGAAAAAGCACCTTTGAGACAACCATGACCTGGCTGTTGAGAATCTCCCTTGACATTATGCAATCAAAGTCACTCAGATGCGATCCTGTCCAAAGCCATGGCTGTCCTTTGATTTCAGGTCATTCCCCTGGACCATGCAGGACTATGCAGCAAAACCCTTGGGATGTCTACCAGTTCCCTCTGGGACCCATTCAGTTCCTTCAATCACCAGGGGTGGATTGCTCAAATGGGTCCAGCCTCCCTGCAGAGGTGGTTGTTATAAGAGATTCTCATAGACCCCAGGGCATGATCTGACCATGACGGGAGATAATGTTAAATCCCCCATCAGATCATGTTGCCATTGCTCCTACAAGAAAATCATGTTGGATGTATGATCACTGTCCCAAGATGGGTCCATGATAATCTGGGATAGGCCATGCCCACCATGGTAGTCATGGACTCCTGGGCCATTTCCAAAGCTGAACCCAGGGATGGTAGGTTGAAGTCTCCCAAGTTAATAATCATTAGTACAAATACTATTGTACTGAAATAATATAATGTATAATGTAATTATGTACATTTTACAATATAATGCTTTACAAAAATAGAATCTATTAGTTGCTGACCAAACTAAGCAGAATAGATGAATTGAAAACTGGAAGACTAATGTAAAACTGCAAAAAGAATATAGCCTTTTAGAGAAAGGTAAATTTATATAATAGCAATACAAGCATGTAGCAGAGTGCTTTGACAGTGTGAATATTTATTCATAAAATATTCCTACTGACATTTGAATTTTATTTACATTTACATTTTATTTGGTTATTTAGTGCACGGTTCAATATATTTACCACATAGCCCAGGAAATACTATATGTGTTATCCATTGCTATGAATTTTTAAACTAAGGAATGACTAGAATCAGAATTACCCAGAGCAGTAGACTCTCACTGGCAGAAGAGGAAAAGAAAATCTGATTCAAAGGGACAAGGGACTTTCTAGGGAAGAACGGGGAATGCCCCTCGGCCTAAGGAACCTCCAGCCAAATATGGTTTGTAAACTCCCACTTCTAGAATATAGCTCCCCCCCCACCTTGCTTTCCCTCAGGATACTGCTATAAAAATATGGCTTAGAGCAGGGGTAGTCAACCTTGGCTCTTTTATGACTCGTGGACTTCAACTCCCAGAATTCCTGAGCCAGCTAAGCTGGCTCAGGAATTCTGGGAATTGAAGTCCACGAGTCATAAAAGAGCCAAGGTTGACTACCCCTGGCTTAGAGGCAGGTGTTTCTTAATTTCTCTTACATGGAGCATGTTTCTCTATGAAAGCACAAGCAGAAAACAATGTTCTATATAAAACATATCAAAACCAAGAAAAAGGTCAAAGAAACAATGGGTTCGCTAATGGAAGAACATGGCAAGGAAATGACAGGCAGCAGGGAGAAAGTAGAGCTGTTTTAATTCTTTCTTTGCATCTGTCTTCCCACAAAAAGAAAAAAATAGCCCAACCTACCAATGACCGAACTGTAAAAGACAGACTAGGAATTCAAATTAAAATAGGCAAGAAAATGGTAAGAGAACACCTGTCCACTCTAGATGAGTTCAAATCACCAGGACCTGATGGATTACATCCCATAGTTCTGAAGGAGCTGGCAGATCACAGTACCATTGAACTATATCTTTCAAAGATCCTGAAGTAGCAGGGAACTACCAGAGGACTGGAAAAGAGTTGATGTGGTTCCCATCTTCAAAAAAGGAAAAAGAACAGATCCAGGAAACTACAGACCAATCAGCTTGACATTAATACCTGGGGAGACCCTGGAAAAGATAATCAAACAACAGAACTCCGAATACCTAGAAGCAAGCAAAGTTATAACCAGAAGCCAATACGGGTTTGTCAAAAACAGATCATGTCAAACAAATCTTATTTCATTCCTCGACAAAGTAGCCAAGTTAGTGGAAGAGCAAAATGCTGAAGACATAATATACTTGGATTTCAGTAAGGCATTTGACAAAATAGACCACAACCTACTTCTTGGTAAGCTAGAAAAATGTAGGTTAGACAGCATTACACCAGATGGATTTGTAACTGACTGACAAACAGCACTCAATATGTAGTCCTTAATGGAACCAAATCTATATGGAGAGAGGTAAGCAAATGGGTGCTCCAAGGTTCTGATTTAGATGAGAGGATAGAAGGAGAACACATCTAATTTGCAGATGACACCAAGCTGGCAGGAATAGCCAACACTTCAGAATATAGGCTTAAGATTCAAAGGGATTTCAACAAACTTGAACACTGGGTCCTATCTAACAAAATGAAATTCAATGTAGAGAAAAGTAAAGTTTTGTGCCTAGATAAGAAAAACCAAGCGGACAGGTACAGATTAGGTGAAACTTTGCTCAATAGCAGTAACTGCGAGAGGGTTCTTGGAGATCTAGTGGACAATCACTTAAATATGAGCCAGCAAGGTGTTGCAGCTGCCAAAAAAAGCCAGTGCAATCCTAGGCTGTATTAAGAGGGATAGAATCAAGATCACATGAAGTATTTTATACTTTATAAGGTCTTGGTAAGACCACACCTGGAATACTGCATTCAGTTTTGGTCACCATATTATAAAAAAGATGTTGAGACTCTAGAAAGTGCAGAAAAGAACAACAAAGATGATTAGGGGGGTGAAGGTTAAAACATATGAAGAATGGTTGCAGGAATTGGGTTTATCTAATCTAGTGAAAAAAAGGACTAGGAGCGACATGATAGCAGCGTTCCAATATTTGAGAGGCTGCCACAAAGAAGAGGTCAATCTATTTTCCAATGCATCAGAAGAAAAGAAAATAAGCAATGGATGGAAAGTAATCAAGGAGAGAAGCAACCTGGAACTAAGGAGAAATTTCCAGACAGTGAGAACAATTAATCAGTGGAATGGCTTGCCTTCAGAAGTTGTGGGTGCTCCATCACTGGAGGCTTTTAAAAAGAGACTGGACAGTCATTTGTCTGAACTGGTATAGGGTCTCCTACTTGAACAGGGGGTTGGACTAGAAGACCTCCAAGGTCCCTTCCAGCTCTGTTATTCTGTTATTCTCTCCCTGTCTCTTTCTGCTTGGAGAAAGGTATTTTACACTGGAAACTCATTATCTAAGAGGAGAAGCTTCCCTCCCCTATAGATCTGCCTTCTGATACCATCAGAAATAGAGGTAAGAAATCATCCACCATCCAGTCTTGCCTGAATGGAATACTCAGAAGAAACGAAGACTTTTAAAACAAAGCATATGGCCGTGGAATCTGCTCTGAAACAACAATAAATAGAAGTTATACTACTACCCTTGATTGGGGAAAAATAAACTACCTCCTTCTGAATAATCTGTTAAGTGTAATTATTCTCTTGATTCGCTTTTATTCTGTGAGCATTATGTTTCAACTTTAAACATCATAGCCACATCAATATCATCTCATGATTGGGAATAGTATGTAAATTTCTGATAATTCTTATGTTGGTCAGGTTTTTCTTCTTTGAATATAACTACTAACTAATCATATCTTTTAACAAATCAACTTTCCAATATGTACAGTCACAGAAATGGAAATCATATTTAAGTATGATCACTCTTGTTCACAATGCTGCAAGTAATTTTTAGTATAGTTTTCTACTAAGAGTATATAATACAGATAAAATCATATCATGAAATATACTTCTAATTTTAAAATTATGATACCTTTGCAGCAAGTTCTGGAAAGGAACCACATCTTCCATTTGCACTAATATTCTACAATAAAAACAAAATTGATATTTTTACATTAATAAGATTTTTAAAAGCCTAGTATAGTTCTTACCTGAAAAATAGTTTTAGATTCTAATCCTGAATGCAATCTGTATGAATTTTATGATGAGCTTGGTTAATGACAATTATTTAAATCAGGAAAATTGGTGTTAATATTTATTATTCAAGTTAAAAAATGTTGATGGAAGAAAGCAAAGCATATACTTTTTCAGATGAGGTATTTCCACAATTGGTTGCCCAAAAGAACTCACTAGTCCACATCAACCTAACTATCCTTCAAGAAACAAATGCTGTAAAAGATAGGACAATTTAGCACTTTTTTTCCTTACTAATAGTATCCTCCCATAAAAGATGAGGTACACCCTTTTGGAATGAGTTTTTTTTTATATACTTGCACATCAAAAATAAATATATTAATAATCCAAGACTGAATATGGATAGCTTGATTTGTAGCAGATAAAAGTTGGATATTGTCCCATTATTAGATATTGTATTATACAAAGTAGTTTACATATGACAACACACAGGAAGAGTTTGAAATATGTGGTTGCATAGCATCCCTATTACACCAAACTAAATCTACTTGTACCCTCAGTTATAACAACAGTACAAGCTTGCTAATGACAACATCTTTGCTCATGGATGTTTGTGCCTTCAGATGAACATTTTGCGGTCCTCATGTGTCCAACAAGATGCGAACACACAAGAAGCTGCAAAGCCTATAGGTTGCCTGGTTTTACTCAGGAGTTGAGAGACAATCTCTCATCACTAGGGGGAGCTATGCAACAATATAGTACATTGTTAAAGAGCAGGCTGGAACCAACCAGCTCAGGCTGACCTAAAAAACATATTTGCAAAGCAAACCCTGAGGGAGTCTTGAGGCCATCAAGGGCAGCTGGCCAAGTCACCAGAACTGATCACAAAAGCTAAAGCAGAGACAAAAGGTCCTGAGGTAAAGCTTCCTCTTGTCTCCGACAGGTGCTTCTCTGTGCATTGCAGCAACCCATAGTTTAAAGGACTGATAACAGCTCTAGCTACAGTAACAGTAAGGCACATGCAGAAACAAGGCAATAGTATGAATTAAGTTATTCTTAATAACTTAATCTTTTGGCCCTCAAATTTTAGAAACATATAAATCCACTTAAAATAAGGTTATTCTTTCAGCATTTTAAACTCCCCTGAATAGTCAGTTGCCGCTGCTCTTAGAGGGTGGGATAGGATTTCCCTTCCCTCCACAGGGGGAAAAATACTTTGGGCAGCTTATACAGGTAGAAAAGAAAGTTAGGATTGAAGAGAGGTTGCTTTAGATGTGCCTAGTGGTAAGTTTAACTTCAGCTGTCTGCAGCCTAGTGACAGGCCATATTTCTATGGCTAATCTTTAATCCGCCGGTTTGGAGGGCTGCCCCGGATCAAGCGAAAGGGCTACTGCCCTCCCACGATCAAGCGGGGATCTCTTCCTTGCTTGTCGCCCCTACAGGGCAACTTTCGACCCTTTCCAGGGACCCCCAGCGGTGCAAAATCGAACGCGAAAGACGGAGCTCGCCTTCTAGCGGCCACGGCGGCTGCAATGGCAAACTGGAAGTCAGGACTAATATTTCTAACACCATTTTCTTGAGCACTGGTTCTCCTCAGAGCTGCATCCTAAGTCCACTGTTGTTCATTCTGTTGACACATGACTGTTGTACTAGGATTGCCACCAATCATATTGTGAAGTATGCAGATGATACAACAGTAGTGAGCCTTATTCAATGAGGGTGACAATGGGGTGACAATTATTCAATGACAATGAGGGTGCTTATTGCAAGGAAGTAGAGAGTTTGGTGAAATGGTGTAACAAAAACAGCCTTGTTTTAAACATAGGAAAAACTAAAGAGATCATTGTTGATTTCAGAAAAGGCAGACACAGCCACACACCTCTGTATATTAATGAATCACATGTGGAGGTGGTTAACAACATCAGGTTTCTGGGTGTGCAGCTAATGGGTAGGTTAGCTTGGAAGCTCAGTAGTGAAATACTGGTAATGGCACAGCAGCACCTGCATTTTCTGTGCCACATGAGGAAAGTACATCTTCTTTTCCCTGTCCTTATCACTTTCTATAGAGGGATGATCGAGAGCATCAGAGAGAAAGCTGGTGCAGAGAATGGTGAGGATGGCAGAAAAGATTATTGCTAGTTCACTTCCTTCTATCCAGGACATGGTCTATAAGAGATCCTTGAGCAAGGTCACCAGGATTATCTGGGACACTACACATCCACTTCATGACCTGTTTTCCTTGTTACCTTCTGGGAGAAGGCATCGTGGTATCCAAGGCAGAACATCCAGATTCAATCACAGTTTTGTTCCATATAGCATCAACAGTGTGAACTCTCAAGTTTCCTCTTTTGGCTATGTATTCATAATGGACAATGAATAATATTTATATGTATATACATGTATAGCATGGGCCAATGTGCTCACAGTAAAAAATAATAAAGGTTATCTTATCTATAACTACAATACATACAGAAAATAAATAGTCAACGTCATCTTCATCTTCTGCCTTTTCTTTCTCTTGAAGATCAATAGAAAAATCTTCATAAATTACCCCATGAACCAAATTGCTCTGAAAAAAAATTAAACAGAATGTGTTTTTCTATGATAATTACTACGTAGTGATTAACAGTAATATTAGACTCTATAAAATCTAAACGTACGTTCAAGAAAATAATTAAATTCCAATTTCAGCCATAATATACAAGGTTTCATTTTTGTTTAGGTGAGAGTGATGAGGGAAGGAAGGCTCAGTGGGTAACCCACCATTATATTTAGGGTAAGAAATCATACTTAAAAAGATTATTCATTTTGGCTTAATTTAATTGTGGTTACATTAGCATCCCACATTCCATGGATTAAACAAACCTTCAAGGTTTTCTTTTTTAAAAAAACTATAAAAAAAATCTAGAGCTACAGATGTTGGAACAATAAATATTGTAAGCAGTCTCAGTTTGGCTTCATACTTCACTATAAACAAGGAAACAGATAAATAAATAGAACTAGAAGATTAGGCTGTGTACTTCTCAAGGAGATGTCACCATTAATCTTTAAGTTATACAAATACTGAAAACCTAGAAAGTAAAATATTTATGAACATAGTTCTTATATAAAATATGTCAATGATTAGGGAAAGATACATATAATTATTAAAAGGAAATTTTGTAATAAATTCTGTATTATTGCAGAAAAATATATCATAGTTACTTGAATTAAAGTAAATCTTTAATTGTTCTGTATTTTACATATTAAATATAGATCCTGAAAAACCTCTCTCTGCATAACTGCTCATTTAGGAAAAAAAGAAACCTGGTGCTAAATTTCACGTGGTCTTCAAATATGTTCAGAAAGTTTACCTCATACTTGGAAAACAAGATTTCCTTCATAACAGACAGAGGAGCCGAAAATTTATGGGGAGCTGGAGTCCAAAACATTTTTAGAGATCCAGGCTGAAGTTTCATCTTCAAAAAATATTTTGAAAACAGATTTAGTGTGATATGTTATTAAGCATTTATTCTAAGCACATTGCTTAAATAAACAGCAGATTTATTGTGTGTTATACATATTTTGCTGTCCTCAAATAGTCCAAAGCGCTACTGCTTTGGGCATTAAAAAAAACCTTCCATCCAAAGTATCAATATCACCTTCCCACCAGGTAACTTTGACTGTGAGCTCAAGATTGTCTATCCCTTTCAGAGAGCATTTAGGAAAGTGCTGTATTTGATGTTTCAAATGTATGATTTAAGCTAAAGTAAACCCTTATATTTTTATAGTACAATAAAAGTCAATGGCTTTTTAAAAACTGCATGTTTCCCAATGTATCTGTTAAGTAGCTATAGCCATATATTGTTGTTTGCCACAAGATAGGGAAATAATTTTAGAGAATTTTATCAAAGACAGACCTCTTATTTTCAAATTAACTTAATCCCAGAATACTGACAGAAAAGAAAGAATATAGAAGTCTGTCTGGTGCTAGACCAGTGGTTCTCAACCTTTTTAATGCCGCGACCCCCAACCGGTCGTAAGTCGAGGACTAAACCGGTCGTAAGTC